CATGGACGATTTTGTTATTTATATCTCCTGAAGAAATCAATTAAATTTCTTAAAAAAAAATCAATTAAATTCTTTAGAAAATCAATGGATTATGAGAAATTATTAAAATTTCATTTAAATCAAAGATCCAATGACCCTGTAAATGATACACTTTGGTCAACTTCATATCCCACCCACCGAAATTTTCCAAACATGCAACTTTTAAAAACTACCGTGTGGTTTTCGAGAATCAAAACGGCGTGTAGTTTCTCTCTATCTCAAACATGGAAAAACCATTTCTCGTGCACTTGTATTCGAAATCTGTGGTTGAATTTCTAGAAACATAGATGCAGGAACTTGTAATTGATTCGTATCCGTATGCAAAATCACTTCCGTATTCGAAAGATATGGTTGGAAAGTCTAGAGATATAGCTGTAGGAACTAAGAAATTTCGTTATCTGATTAGGTCTACGAAGAGATTCGGTCCAGATGAGAAGAGGTTTGAGCACTTGGCATTCTTGAATTTGGCTCAAAGCGTAGTCTGCTTGGTCTGGTCTTATATAAGTGAGCACTTGTCCAATTTTTTTGTTTGTTTACCTTCGTCATTGAATATAGGCCAATGGGGCTGAAATGTCTTTATCTGGAATATGATTGTGTCCAGTGATTAAGCTCTGGTCAAATGCAAGTAACGGTGGAGCACCATGGTGGACGTACTGGAGTGCTGGCATTACTAATACGATTGGTCCTGCCATGGGAATCGAAGCCTTGAAGTATATCAGTTATCCGGCTCAGGTAACTATTTTACTTGATCATCAATATTGTTATTATAGCTTTTTAACCATTTATTAGGAAGGCAATGGGTTGAATTCTGATCTTGCTTCTTGCAGGTCCTCGCAAAATCTTCAAAGATGATTCCAGGTAAAGTATCTATCTATAGTTCAAAATTTCAATCCATTATTACTAAAAAAGATGCTCATGAAACTCTCTTTCTTACATATTGTTCTTAAGATCTCTGTGTTTATCTTATTCATGCTTTTCTTTTTCGTGATGCAGTTATGCTGATGGGAACTTTGGTTTACGGAATAAGATACACTTTCCCTGAATACATTTGCACCTTCTTAGTCGCGGGAGGAGTAGCCGTCTTTGCTCTTCTTAAGGTATGCAAATTTGCTCATTCTAAAACTTTGCTCATTGCATCTTATTAAGCTTTGGATTTGGTTTATTTTTTCAGACAAGCTCTAAGACAATTAGCAAGCTAGCACATCCAAATGCTCCCCTTGGTTACGCACTTTGCTTCCTAAATCTCGCCTTTGACGGATTCACAAACGCCACCCAAGACTCCATTGCCTCTAGGTATATACTGATCCGAAATTGCATCAAAACATAAACTTACGATCTTCCATCTATGGTCATGTCACAATACAACGAATTTTTTACAGGTACCCGAAAACCGAAGCATGGGACATAATGTTGGGAATGAACTTATGGGGAACAATATACAACTTGATCTACATGTTTGGATTACCACAAGGGATCGGATTCAAAGCAATTCAGTTCTGCAAGCTACACCCGGAAGCAGCATGGGACATTCTAAAATACTGTCTATGCGGCGCCGTGGGACAAAACTTCATCTTCATGACAATAAGCAACTTCGGGTCACTAGCTAACACGACCATAACCACAACTAGGAAGTTTGTTAGCATTGTTGTTTCATCGGTAATGAGCGGAAATCCATTGTCGTTGAAGCAATGGGGATGTGTTTCAATGGTGTTTGGTGGTTTGTCGTATCAGATTTATCTTAAATGGAGAAAGTCTGAAAGAGTAGAGAAGAAGAAGCAAAAGAGTTGAAGAAAATAGTGGGAAAAAAAAAACAGAGAATGGCTCTGTTTTCAGATTATTTTAGATGTTTATGTTTAGTTAACCGAAACATATACATAGAGAATCTCATACCAGATCTAGTCAACTGTAAAATTAGTGATTAGCAGACGTATAAATTAATGAAAATGTACTGATTTAAAATTCGTTAACCGATATGTACCGGTTTTTACATTCAACTCAGATCACCGGTTTAGGCGGTTTTCCATCAAAATGTACTGATTTAAAATTCGATTCCTTAATCTCTCCCAAAGAAAAAGGCTCTCAACTAAACAAATGGTACATCCGTACATGACTCCGAATTTGTTTATTTCTCCTCTAGTTGTAGCATCAGTTGATATTTTGAAGCTATGTGAAGGAAAAAAGAGGGAGCAAGCATTGATTTCATAATTTGATAAAAATCAAAAGTTATTAGATTAATGAACACAACAAGGGTTGGGACTTTAATTCTAGAAAAGAGCTACAAAGTTTCAACGAGTGAGTAATAAACTTGGAAAATAAGCAATGTTGGAACCAATTTTTATTAAAATCAAATGGGCTTGTTATAGACATTTGGGTATGAAAATGGGTTTAAAATATGAAGGTGAAATGAGATAAGGCTTTTGGGCTAAATGGGAAAGCCCTTATGTTGGTTTAATGNNTGCACACTTAAAATGTCNCACATCTAAANTTTGNGANATTTTGGTAGTGTATATNTAAGGGTGAGCTTGTGTAGAGTTCAAAACATTACAAGGACACACATGCACCATAAAGGAACCAAGGGAAGCCCACACGCGCCCCGAACCGAACCGGGCA